AAAAAAAAAAAAAGAAAAAAAAGAGAGAAACTTACCTCACTATTCTGCGTTTCTTCTTTTGATCTAGTCCAACTCAGTCTTGGAAAAGTTCAAAGGGGCTGGAATGTGATTTGTTCTAGTTCATCTAAAAGAAATTAAGAGGAAAATACCCATTAAACAATGTTCAAATGAGATTATCTTAAGTCCTTTTCTTCTGATTAATCAAATAACGTAGCCAAAGAACCAATGAAATTCTCAACTCACCTGAAATGGAATCCTCATTTCTGCCTCCCAAGAAGAACAAGCTGAACCAAAATGCAGTCGTCGAGTTTAAGTTTTCAGTCAACACCAGGGGCACGAGCAAAACACAGGCTCCCAAAAATGGGTTCTGTGAAATAAATACCATACCCCTTTAGAGATTCCCCAAAATCCCAGAAAGGGTGTCTTCAAAATCAGAAATCAGCAAAAACCCATATAGACACTCCCCAAAAAGGTGTTAATTTATATCAGACACCTCAACATCAGCCAACAGGAGAGAAAATTTAGCAACTTGCGCCACCAGTCCACCACCCTTCTCATGTACTACAAAGGAAGTAGTACAAGGGAGGAATTTGTACTACACACTCTTAATATCGTCCATCCACAGAACATGACACTTCCAAATCCTTGCCGTTAATTTTGAATTTGATTCTTTTTGTTGACTCCTTTCCCAGAAAGTAAAGGGTTGCAGGACAGATATGCCAGTTGGATTTTGGAGGAATGCTAGCTGCACTCGCCCTTCTCCAGCACTCTCCAACACTCTCTCATGTAAAATGTCCACGTAACAAACTTTGGCTCGCAATTCAAAGTTTCCAACAAGAAAAGTTCACGTGGCTATTTTAGCTGAAGGAGTGTTGGAGAGTGCTAGAGAAAGGCGAGTGCAGCTAGCATTCCTCTTTGAAAAGATAAGGTAGAAAATTCAATTGGGTAATTTCTTGAAAGAGCACTGCTAGGGGCACTCGCCTCCTGCACTCTCCAGCCAACACTCTCATTTTTATTGGGCCACGTTATTTTGGTCCGAGACGTTACACTTCTAAGTCCTTAAACGAGCTTACGTGGCCCAATGAAAGGGGAAGTGCTGGCCGGAGAGTGCCCCTAGCACTGCTCTTTCTTGAAATGTTAAGCCTTGGCATGGAAGGGTGAAAATGAAATAGTGGTGATTTTTATGGATAGGTAATTGGCGTGTGCCATACGTCGTGCAGTCAATACTCAACAGAAGGGAAATTCATGTCCACTGTAGAGGTGACGTGACGTGAGAAAGACGGTAGTCCCCACCGACGAATGCATGATTTTTTGATTCTTACAATACATCCCAACCCCACCTGATCAACTCCGAAGTTCTATTGACCCCTGATGTCATTGTCTCGTTTGCAACGAAGGACTTTTCCATCCACATTGTTCTCCAATCGATTTGTCTCCACAAAATTTCGTTAAAATTTTATCAGCTATACAAAATACAAGTTTTGTTATATGAAAAAGGAAAAATCAAGTTATCTAAATATTAAAAATATTAAAATATTATTATAAAAAAATTAAAATATTTAATAATTATTATAAAATATTTAAGATATTACATAAATTTTAATTTTATTAATTTTATCATATAATTAATTATTAGGTATCTTGATACTTTTAATATTAGAACTTTTTAATTTTTTTTTACCTTATTGTATTATCTTTAGAAATATTAATTTATTTAATTTGATTATTAAAAATAGTTAATATTCAAAATTATTTAATAGGTTAAAATTAAATTAATATTTTTAGACATTATACAAGTTAATTATTTTTTTAGTTGTAAACAAATAAAATATTAATTAAATTAAATACAAATACTATAATTTATGTGATTTTAACAAAATTTTGACCGAAGTTTTTAGTGTAAGTTGCTTCTAAATAAACAAATAAAGAGTTTGTGCAATTCATGTAGTAATATCTTTAATAAAGTATTATAAAAAGAATAAGAATTTATTTATACAAAAGTTTGATATACTATTTTTATATAAAATCTTAATTATTTATTTTTTTTACTTTTAATAGTTAAAATTTATTTATATTTATTAAAAATAATTATTT